CGTAGTTTGCGTTGTTGCTGTTGGTATTGAATTTGATATCATTATAGAGCAAGCCAGGAAGTAAGATAGGTCGTTCTGGCTCGGGAAACACTTCGAAATGTGGAGAAGTTGTGAACAAAAAGACAATTATCAGTAATATAAAAACAGTTAAATATTTCAAGCAATAGATAGTCCAGTGGATAGAGCCGGCGGCCCGAATGCGGCGATGTCCTCCGCGCAGCTGGTTCAAATCCCGGATTGGACGTATTTGAATCATTGCTTTTCAACTTTAATAACTGATAAAAGGCCCTCTCCTCCCAAAACATGTCTAGCACTCTCTAGTCTCTTCTCAATAACCCAATACACACAATTATCAATCTTTAATTGCAAATAGAACATGATATTCAGTCTTTGTGTTTGTGTGTGTGTGTGTGTGTGTGTGTGTGTGTGTGTGTGTGTGTGTGTGTGTGTGTGTGTGTGTGTGTGTGTGTGTGTGTGTGTGTGTGTGTGTGTGTGTGTGTGTGTGCATCGAATATTTTTCAAGGCAAAGATACGTTAAACCCACTGCAGCCTTGCACTTCGCCAGGAGAGGTCTCTGTAACTGAAGCTTCAAGAAATGAACCTATTTCCGACACAATTGTCCAAGTGGTTCGACGCTTCATTCAAAGCTTCATTTTGCCGGTCACAAAACAAAACGCTCTCATGGAGGATATCACAAAAGGTACTTGGTCTCTCTGTGGCTGCTTGGATCTGACTTCTTGGCTCGACAAACAAGACGAACTGACAACCGACAAGGGGAGACAGGACAATATATACAAGAGGTAAGTGGGAACAGGTGGAAACAATCGGGCGGGGCAGACGCTGACGATGGCGGGAAACAAGAACCAAGGAAGTAAAGGCACCTGGAATGAGACAAGGAGTACAAAATAAAACAGGAAGTGAAACAAACAACAAACATGAACGCGACAAATACCTAACAAACTAACATAATTGACGGGACACAACACAATTATTGTACATTTGGTTTTGCGTACCATGAGCGGGACAAATAAAAATGAAATGAAATTGTCTCCACTAAGCATGGACTAAAGTGTTGCTATGGAAACGTTTTTGTCATTTTTCCTGGTTTTTGCTGTGTTTTTAAAATCCATCTACGCATTTCCTCAGCCCACTCTGACTCAGTAACACAGTTTATCAATCAATCCACCAAACATGTCTATCAGTAATGGCACAAACATGAGGCTGCACAAATAAAAGAAATGTCGTCTCAACGCAGTACGGACTCGTCGAATATTCATACAACAAGCACGATATTTGCTTAAGGCTAAATATGTGTTCAAATACATTTTAAATGCAGTATTGTGGTTCTGCAGAGAGAATAAAACATATTTATTTTGTACAGATCCTCTTAAATAATCATACTATGATCATTTTAACATATTTGTCAATGATACTGAGAATTACCGTTTAAGAAATTGATCAATCTTATCCCAATATCAGTCAAAAATGTATACTTTTTTCCCAATCGTTCACCCCTATTATCCATTTTTAAGAATGTAATAGTTTCTATTTAAAAGTCTACATGACGCATGATACCCGTAAGACGCTGCCAGTCCCTGTGGAGTGTGCATGGTACAACATGGAGAGCTGGAATCTGTTAACAAACATCAATTAAGATCTGAGAGAATACAGCAGCTCCCTTATGTGCCAGCTGTCTTACATTAGGGAGTTACACAAGTCATGATTTTGCAGTGAAACAGATCGTTCCCTCTGAGCGAAAACAACAGCATCTGATGGTTTGCAAGGCAAGGCAAGTTTATATTATACAACACCTTTCAACACGAGGCAGTTCAAAGTGCTTAAAATGAAATACATTAAGAGCATAAGGAATGCGGAAACATGTTGGAAATTGGCATTTAAAAACAGTCAGGTAATAAAACATGAATAACACAGGAACATGATTAGAAGTTACAGTGCAGTTATAGTTCAATTAGAAGCAGCGGCAAAAAGAAAAGTATTATTCTAGTATTATTGCAGTATTCTTCTATCACCTGATTTCAGCAGGGGTTTTTTACCTTAAAGGGGACCTATCGTGCAAAATGCACTTTGTGATGTCTTTTATACATCAACATATGTCCCCGGTGTGTCAGGGAACTCACGCAGCATCAAAATAAAACCCTCTCTCTTTTCCTCCGTACCCAAATCTCTAAAAACGGGGAACAACGGAGCTGATCCAGATTTGCGTCCGATATGACGTAATATCTGAAATGTGGACCCGTGGCCCAATCAGAAACGTTGCTAGCAGAAACAATGCCCGACTGTTTTGGACGTAATATGGTCGGTGTTTACATTGGCATCGCTAACACTCAGAGCTAACCTGTACTGGAGAGCATGTGTGTGAAGAAGCAGGAAGTAGAAAGGAACTCACCTTGTGGTATAACCGGCAAGAGAGAAAGCCTTTGAGCTCCAGACTGTTTCAGAGAGAATCCTTGATCATCCATGATATGGCGTTTCATCACGGCAGCATTTAGTTTAGACAGTAGCTGCCGGGTCCCGCATGAGCTCAGACCCCTCCTAAAGCTTTATACCCAGAATCAGCACTTTAGAAACAGGAAGTGAAATAGAGGGATATGAGGCATTTCACACTTCATAGACATGTTTTTTATTTATTTTTATATATCTGAGACCTATGCTATTGCCTAAAAATAGCATGATAGGTCCACTTTAACATCAGGTATTATCGCTTGGGGCCCAGGGTCAGTTCAATCTTACGAGGTCAAGTTAGGGACCGTCTGAAAGTGCCAAAAAAGGTCTGATTTTGGGTCATTTTTCATGGACAGTCCAGCTTTATTTTCAACTGTAACTCCCCCCATTGCATACATCTCCCTGCTCACAGTTACACAGCAATTATATAGACTCTGAGGCATGATTATTTTTATTATTTTGTTAATTTAGGTTCATGGAAAAGCACATATTATATATATATATATATATGTTATATTGTGTATTTCGTGTGAGTGCTGTTATTATCTTTCTATCTGGAATGATCTTACAACTCCTGGTGTGGACCCAAAGTGATGTTGTTCTCCAAATACACGAATCCAATCACTTGTAAATCACGAAGAGGCACTTTCAAATCAGATTTGATAAGCCAAAAGGGGAAACAAATCTCACGGGGTCTTAAAAAAGGCCAAACCCATCAAGATATAGTCTAAAAATACACATTTTAAGATATAATCACCTATTTGCTATTGAGTCAAGCACTCTTTAGATACCCTGTGACCCTTAGTTCCTATAATACAAGAATAATGGCTGAAAACATGTTTATGTGGAGCTTGATGGATTCGGGTAATTTCGGAGGCTCCATTAAGTGCCCCATTGACGGAAAGAAAAAAAACACTAGGTTTATTTCAGATGTCATTATTCTGTGTGAGTGTTTGTAAGCCATTTATTTAAAGACCCCTCCATCGAGTCTCTTCAGACATCTGTCCATATTTCACTCACTGTGTTGCTAATCAATGCTAATGATCAATTTATGCTTTCTTAACCCTCCTGTTGTCGTGGTCACATTTGACCGGTCCTGATTTAACTGCTATTACATTAACACAAAAACCATTAATCATCACCACATTTCATTTAACACCCTTTCAAACTGTACATATTGTATCAGACTACTGGTACACATGAAGAACTGCAGTAAATATACAAAGAACAGACACTGAACATGTTGCGTGAGCCAGGTGTGATCCATGTGGGGGGAGGGGCACATAAGAGCGGGACATCTATCAAATTGTTCTGTGTGTGTGTGTGTGCCAGGTGTGATTCACATGGGGGGATTGGACCATGGATTGGACACATTAGGGGGGTGACACATCTAGTGTGTGTGTGTGTGTGTGTTTTATCTGATCCGGATGGTTACTAATTCCTTTTCTCTATGGCATGAACACCATGGGTGTCACAAAGTTGACTAAATCATCCAAAAGTCAATGAAAGTGGTGATCAGATATGTTCAAATGTCTCCTGTGAAGGATATCATGAAGCCTGAATTCAATCGAATGTAAAACAACAAAGCTATGATTGATGAAAGTAGTAAATCGGTCGGATTTGACCCGAAGACAACAGGAGGGTTAAATAAACCAATCACTACATTAAACGCTCACTTTTCCCTAAATTCTGGACGAATGGAGGTGCTTACAGTCCTTAGTGACAGGAAGTAAGAGTGCTTTTATATAAATGTTAAAGCTATTACTTTTGAAACTTCGCTTTTTGAATAGTAGGTTAGGAACGGAAATGAATGCCTGAATCAAATACTGCTTTGTCATTGTAAGAAAACTCTTCAATGGTATTGGGTTCAAGATTATAAATGAATAGGTAGATCAATGTTAGTCAAAGCATCAAAACAACCGTCTTCACACTCACGTAGGCAGCAAGGAAAGCAGCTTCCTGGCACTTTATTTATTAAGAATGCCAAGAGTTTTCAATCAGAAAGAGCAGAGGAAGCAACTCAATCATTTCAGTCAAGCAACCAAAGACGTTAAGAGGCTATGAGAAAAGATATATCAACAAATACCTAATAACCAGGTGAATATATCGCACTAACGTCACGCAACTAGCTGCTGTAGATTGTGGAGCCTTTAGCAGTGTAATAGCCAGATGTGGAGGTGGAGACCAAAACAGAGCAATAATTGGAGTTAATATTGGACTAAAATGTATCAGAGTAACGGAAAAATGACAGCAAATAAATGCTAATGTTGTTCAGTAGTGTTTGCATGTGTTAATAGACCAATGTTTCCTAATGAATATGTTCACAGTAGTCACTTTATTAGGGGATACATTGATGTTTTTGTTTTTAAAGCTGCTTGTTTTCAGTCATGGTTTTCTGGATTTCCCCCCCTGGGTCTCTTTAGTGAGAGGAATGGGAAAGTGGGGAAAAACGACTACATTTCGATTAGTAGTAATGCATTTTAAAAGATGAAACCATCGTCTCACGACCACTGTTTCCTGTCTCTGTCATTTGTCAGGTGGCCAGATGGGAGCATCGTACTCGCACCCTCTCAAAACTCTTCGGCAGCCCCTCGCTGGCGTGTTACTGCCTGGGGTTCATCATCATCCTGCTCAACGTCTACCGCAGCCACAGGTGAAACACACACTATCATTTAAAGGTCCCTCATTCTACTGTTCTTCATCAATATATCACAGGTCTCAGATATATACAGAGCCTGTCTCTGATTGGCTGGAACACCAAACAGATCATTGCAGCATTACCCATAATCCCCTCTGTTTCAGCCCTGTTTCCAAAGTGCTGATTCTCTGTCTGTTACTTTAGATGAAAATAAGGAGCCCCTCCCCACGCCCCTCTGAGAGACATTTGGTTACAAAGAACTCAATGGTGCTCTAGGACAGTGGTTCTCAACTGGTCAGGCCTCGGGACCCACTTTTTACTTGGTCAATACATCGCGACCCAACATTTTGAAGCACTCAAATCTATTCAACAAAAAAACGTGCTGTAATATATATATATACGCTTTTCAGCATACAATATTAATAAAAGTGAAGTACAGTGCATATATCCCTTATATCCCTTCACAGAACTAAAGTATGCTTTTAAAAAAGGTTTAATGAGATGATGGCATCAAAGCTGAACTATATAAAAAGGCCCACATGCTGAAAACCCAACCCCAGCAGGGGGTCTGGGGGGATTCTCCCCCAGGAGATTTTTAGAAAAACTAACATATAAACTATGCATTCTGGTACACTCTGAGGAGAAAATAAATAAATCTATTACTACCCGACATATTAATAATATTTTATGCCATTGTTTGTTTTTCACTTTGTTCTGACATCTTGCACAGAAGAGTAAAGAGGAGATAGTCTGTGCTATAGTCCGTTACTTCCAGTCCTACGCCGACTGCATGCACAGCGTTAGAAAATCGAAAAGTTTGACTTTTTTTTTTTTTTATTTCTTTTTTTTTCCCACTCACACATGATCCGCGACCCACTCGAAACGGGTCCGCGACCCACTTTTGGGTCGCGACCCACCAGTTGAGAACCACTGCTCTAGGAGGAGATTCAGGTGATAAGGGGCGGGGGGGGGGGGGTTACCTTGGTTGCTGATTGGCTAATGGTTACACAAAACATCATTATGACATCATAATGTGGCCAAAATCTGATCAGCTCATTTTCAGACAGGTTTTTATAGAAATGGATCAAAAGAGAGAGAATCTTTGTTCCTGAAACTTTCAGAGTCTCTTTCCACAGAGGGGACACATGTTGATGTAGAAGAGACATGAAGAAGAGGGGACACATGTTGATGTAGAAGAGACATGAAGAAGAGGGGACACATGTTGATGTAGAAGAGACACGATGAAGAGGGGACACATGTTGATGTAGAAGAGACATGAAGAAGAGGGGACACATGTTGATGTAGAAGAGGCATGAAGAAGAGGGGACACATGTTGATGTAGAAGAGACACGATGAAGAGGGGGACAACATGTTTGATGTAGAAGAGACATGAAGAAGAGGGGACACATGTTGATGTAGAAGAGACATGAAGAAGAGGGGACACATGTTGATGTAGAAGAGACATGAAGAAGAGGGGGACACATGTTGATGTAGAAGAGACATGAAGAAGAGGGGACACATGTTGATGTAGAAGAGACATGAAGAAGAGGGGACACATGTTGATGTAGAAGACATGAAGAAGAGGGGACACATGTTGATGTAGAAGAGACATGAAGAAGGGGACACATGTTGATGTAGAAGAGACATGAAGAAGAGGGGACACGTGTTGATGTAGAAGAGACATGAAGAAGAGGGGACACGTGTTGATGTAGAAGAGACATGAAGAAGAGGGGACACATGTTGATGTAGAAGAGACATGAAGAAGAGGGGACACATGTTGATGTAGAAGAGACATGAAGAAGTGGATTTTGCATAATAGGTGACCTTTAATGACACTTGTTTGTTTGTTGACGAGGTTTTAGTAGCCTTGAGTTTCACCATCTTGGCATCTTTTGGAAGCAGAAGTGAGATGAGAAGATGGAGCTTAGCGTAACCCAAATACATTTTTAGGCAACACAAATGTTACAGTTAACTTTGATGAACTTAAAACACACTTTGAAAAGGGTTTAAGATTGTGACAACACCCTAATCAGACAAGGGCATCATTTACAAAAAGTATACGCAGCTTTATTTTCAATTTTACTCTAAATTGCTCCCAATGGCATCGCCAATGGTATTTGAATGTGTGTAAATACGTTTTCTTGGGCCGATGGCACCCTTGTATGGCAGCCAGTGTGAATGGTATATGTAAAAACTAGGGCTGTCAAATTAATGCGTTAACGCAAAAAAAAATTAACGCCACTAATTATTTTAACGCGATTAACGCATGTGTATTTTTTTTCCTCGGCCGCCCCGTAGTTTCAGAGCGCATCGAGTTTAAAATACCATCTACAAGCTGATGCTGCCAGCCCCGCTCCTGCCGCCCGCTTGTGGCAGACCACACTTCCACGCTCACCGGCAGGCACCGACTGGCTGTTGGGAGGACCGGGAGGGTGTGTGTATGTGTGGCCCGAGCGAGAGAGAGACCTTACGTGCATTGTTGTTGTTAGCATCTGGTGCTAGCTAGCTGCGCTAACGGATATACGGAGCTGTTTAAATGAAAACAGAGGAGCGACATTTTGCCACAACTGCGCCGAGCACTTGACTTTATGCAGGAAGCCAGACAGTGGGACATTGTACGAGAAGTCAGCACACTCAGCACGGATAGTGCGCAACATGATTGCAGCGTCCAGGCAGCTCCGGTTCGAGCATATGCCTTGAGTTGCACATAGCTCCAACGATCCCCCACACACACACACACACACACACACACACACACACACACACACACACACACACACACACACACAGGTTGTTGTGTTTAATATTCATGAGGATATTTGTCATTGTTCAAATGATAATAAACATTAGCATAAAGCATATTTGTCCACTCATATGTTGATAAGAGTATTACAAACTTGAAAAATATTCCTCTAAGGTACATTTAGAACAGATCAAAAATGTGCGATTAATTTGCGATTAATCGCGATTAACTATTTGAATCGACTGACAGCCCTAGTAAAAACACTTTGAGGGGTTTTGAAGACTGAAAAAGTGCCTTAAGAATGCAATCCATTTAAAATTCCCACCTACAGTAAGAACCCCATAGCAGCGTCTCGAGCGCTGGCACTGCACTAAAATAGGCTTCAACTGCATTGAAGTTGTTTGTCCAGCATAGGTCAAACTGCACAGCTTATAACAGGCATCAAAGCTAGGTCAAACAGAAAGACACACACTTTGTTTCCTACCCATTTGCGAGATGACTCCTGCACTTATGTGTGTCGAACATAAAGTTTATATCCATTACCCAGTTGCTAAGTGCTACATCCAGCTGAGCCACTTTGCTAGAAACCTATTTTTATTTCACTCTGTCGCCTTTCTTCTCATACGACATCCTTCTTCTGTCTCTAAGTGCTCTTCTCTCCCACTGCGGCACTTTTGCTTTGTTTCTCCCATCCTTATTGTCGCCCACAGTATCTGTTTGTGCCGGTTTCACCCCACGCTTGCCATCAGAACAGAAACCCAGTGGAAGTACAGCTGCCCACTGCGGGTCAAACACTGTGACAAAGCACATTCAACAAAACCATGCATTTACAGCATGGCAGTTCCAGAACATCATTTTACTATCTACGCGAGGCTGTGTGATGTCTGTTGCCAGGGAGAGATCGTTAAAGTACACACATCCTTTACTCAAGTAGAAGTACAGATATTCATGTTTCAAAATACTCTGGTGAAAGTACTGACTAAACTTCTTTACTCAATTAAAAGTAAAGAGGCTTTGAAGTGTACTTCAGTAAAAAGTCCCCATAACTAGCAGCTGCTTTAAAGAGTACCTGACCTCCCTTTATATCAATAGAACAATAATGTCATTGTTAGCTAATGAATGTTTCCATGCTGAACAACGGCAACATGACAACGTTTCCATTGGTCCCTCTTCTTTAGAGAAGACCAGGAAATGATGGATACACGGATCGTGTTCAAATCAATAGGCACGTAATGACTCTAAAGAATAATGATCACACCACCAAACACACATTCAGACTAAAGGAACCAGCTGTTTGGAAAATGAGAGAAGTAAAAAGTACAAGTATTTGAGTTCAACATGTGAGAAGTAGAAAGTACAGGTATTTGAGTTCAACATGTGAGAAGTAGAAAGTTCAGGTATTTGAGTTCAACATGTAAGAAGTAGAAAGTACAGGTATTTGTGTTCAACATGTAAGAAGTAGAAAGTACAGGTATTTGTGTTCAACATGTAAGAAGTAGAAAGTACAGGTATTTGTGTTCAACATGTAAGAAGTAGAAAGTACAGGTATTTGGGTTCAACATGTAAGAAGTAGAAAGTACAGGTATTGTGTTCAACATGTAAGAAGTAGAAAGTACAGGTATTTAAGTTCAACATGTAAGAAGTAGAGAGTACAGGTATTTGTGTTCAACATGTAAGAAGTAGAAAGTACAGGTATTTGAGTTCAACATGTAAGAAGTAGAAAGTACAGGTATTTGTGTTCAACATGTAAGAAGTAGAAAGTACAGGTATTTGAGTTCAACATGTTAGAAGTAGAAAGTACAGGTATTTGTGTTCAACATGTAAGAAGTAGAAAGTACAGGTATTTGTTTTCAACATGTAAGAAGTAGAAAGTACAGGTATTTGACTTCAACATGTAAGAAGTAGAAAGTACAGGTATTTAAGTTCAACATGTAAGAAGTAGAAAGTACAGGTATTTGTGTTCAACATGTAAGAAGTAGAAAGTACAGGTATTTGTGTTCAACATGTAAGAAGTAGAAAGTACAGGTATTTGAGTTCAACATGTAAGAAGTCAAAGTAAAAAGTCGTCAGAAAAATAAGTAGTGGAGTAAAGTACTGATACCAGAGAAATGTACTTAAGTACAGTAACGAAGTATTTGCACTCCAATACTCTCCACCTCTTGTGTGTGGTGTGTGTGTGTGTGTGTGTGTGTGTGTGTGTGTGTGTGTGTGTGTGTGTGTGTGTGTGTGTGTGTGTGTGTGTGTGTGTGTGTGTGTGTGTGTGTGTGTGTGT